AATCCTTCCTTTCCCGAAGTTCTTCGCGCAAAACAAGGACATGAGCCTTGGGAGACTCTTGTTTTGGTTCCAAAGGAAAGGATGGTTCAAATCACTCCTTAAACTGCGTTGGATGTCCCCGGAGCATCATTCTGAAAAGACACCAGTTGGTGCTTTGGTTCTTCACCTCGTCAGCTGCGTCATCCTCATATTCGCCACCTATGGCAGGCCACCTGTAGTGGCATACACAGCACTCACGTCTCTAAGTGCTTATGTGGTCAATGCATTCATCGGAACATTCCTGGGCCTCGGCATTCTCATCCTACGCTTCCGCGGGCCTCCTACGACAGCTACTGACGATGATGCCACTGATGATGACCCATCCAAGTCCCCGACAACTTGGGGTGAGATGACTGGCAAGAAGTTCCGTCCCTTTTTATCAGTCTTCTGTGCCATTGTATACATGTGTGGAGGTCTCTACCCCGTGATCACCAACTGGGTACCGCCGTCACAGTATTCAGACCTGACCGTGACGCCATGGTGGCTTGTGCCTACCGTTGGATGGATAATCATCAGTCTTGGCGTCGCCTGGTTCATCGGCTTCATCTTGGTGGCTCGTTACATTGAGAAGAAAGACCACCGTGTCTTTGTGGTAGAGAAGAAGCCGGAGTTCGAGGCAGCTGATGGCAGCAGCCGGAGCTCCGAAGCTGGCCATACAGGGGCCGATCTAATCCAAGTCCATGAAACGGTTTACCTCAGCTGGGTTGGAAAAGAGGCTCTCCGACAAAGGCGGCCGGTTTTTGAAGACTCGAAAGAAGCTGAAGGTCATGTCAATGAGGTGCCGGCGTCTCCGTACGTCAACACGGACTTTGCCGCATACATGTCCAGTCAGGTTACTGAAACAGGGAGGACATATTCGAGATACTAAAAGAAGCACTGGTGTGTTGCACGGCCGTTTGCTAACTTTGGGCGAACAGGGCGTTTGTAGGGCACGGCTCTTGCTTGACTTGCCTGGGGTAACATCTTATGATCATGAATTTTTACTGTTTTATTACTCGTGTACGTAGTGGTATCTGGGCGGACATTAAATGCAAAGCCTATCCCGCGTCGTGACCTTCCTATCTCATAACACCCATTAAGTGATCATGGCTCCTGCTCGACAATGTTGTTGAGACGTGGCCCAAGTTGTGCAAGGGCTGAACGATCTTGTCCGTCAGGCTCGTAAGATCGGAAGACCTCTCCACGCATAAGTCTGCGCGGTGCTCGTCTCCCCGTAAAGAGCTCGAACTGGGCGAAGCCCTGCTCCGGAAGTAGGTCCAGACCGTCCATAGTGACCCAACCCCGATGAGAGACCTGGCGCGCTTGGTTGAGTATTGGGGTATCAAGCGTCTTGTATCCCAGCTCAACGAGACAGCCGCCGGTTGGACTGCTGAGCCAGGCTTGTGGCGCCACGAAGTTGGGAGCTGGTACGTCGCCGATGCTATGCGTCGGGATACAGGAGACGATCATGGTCGGCGGTCGAAAGTCTTCCGGCCACGCCTCGTCGAGTGTCCTGATGATATGGAATCTTGTTTCCGCGTCCGTGTTTGCGCTCAGGAGCGGTAGATCGTGTCTCTTTAGTAGTCTCGTGAAGTGATTGACCATTTTTTCCGCGTTCGAGACCGTGCGATTATACACCACGATGTTCTTCACGCCAAGTTGCAACATGCTGTAAGTAGCAGCACGAGCCATACCGCCTGCGCCGATAATGAGACCGCAACTTGTCGGACGCACCGCATTGGCAGGCGAAAGTCCCCTCCTCAGGCAAGCCCGGATACCGATCCAATCTGTGTTCTCTCCGTAAAGTGCGCGTACCGGCCCAGCTCGATTTCTACAGTTGAAGAGTTTCTCATCTTCTGGAATGGTGCCGTCGGGGTTCAGTCGACGAACAGGCACGAGAGTGTTTACTGCGCCGATGGCCTGGGCGTGTCGACTCAGCGAATGGGTGAGAGTGATGATTTCTACTTTGAACGGCAAGCCCACACTGGCGCCTGCGAAGTAGGGATCTTCGATGAGGTCTTTGAGGCCATTCAGTGATGGTGTGGAGAAGGGCCGGTAGACATGTGGGATACCACATGCCTTGAGGGCGGCATTATGCATAGCTGGCGACAAACTGTAGGAGACGTGGGCACCGAAGACATAAATCTTCATGGGGTCGAATAGGAATGAGTTGTACAGCGCTTGCGTTGCCTGTACAGCTGTCAAACAAGGCTGATCGGGGCTGTACTTTGACGCCATTGCTTCTGGCACGACGCTCGTTAGGACATGGTTCATGGCAGCCGAATGCCTGCCACGAGGGCCGGAGTTGTAGGCAATGAGAGGGATCTTGTGGCCAGTCGTGGCGTCGACCAGAGCCTTGAGATGGTTCACATCAAAGTTGTCCTTTATCGAGGTGACGGGCTTGACAAGTCGGACAAGATCGCAGCCTATTCGGCGGGCTCTGTGGTAATGTGACATCCAGAACGGATCTGCCCATGAGGGAGAGTCGACGGCAGGAGTTAGGTGACCAATGATCTTTGACCGCCTCTTCATTGAGATGATATGTAGTAATTGGTAATCGTTCAAGCGTAAGTCGACGGTGAGGTATTCAGGTGTTAGTCGGAGACCATGTAAGATGTAGTCCATGTACACCGATTCTGTTGTGTCCGGGAGAACGACATGGTAGATGAGCGGAATGACGGTGCTCCTTCTGATTGACCCAATGATCCTTGCAATATCTGCAGCTCGTTCAGAATCCAATGCCGTTGCACCCGCGAGGCCATCAACGACGATCTCGATGGCGTCAGCACCTGTTTCCAGCTCCTCGACGGTGATCTCATTGTTGAGAAGGCTCGACAATGATACTGAAATAGCATAGGTGAACCGGCGGTCCTCAGTCGGAATAGACGCCAAGGGGAAGGCAGACTCGATGAAGGGGATAGAGCCTTTGGGCATGATCAAGCTGAGGAATTTGAGGAAGTGCCTCTCCGCCCGCTTCAAGGTAAGATACGGTGCGGGTGGCTTCTGACCGCCAGCGTGGGCTTCTATCCTCGCCGCATCAGTCTCGGCCGCAGGATCTGCCGTCTCAGAGACATTGAAGAACTCGAGATTGCTGCAAGTCCGGAAAATGGTACTGCTCGCGGCAAGAAGATTTCTTGCCTTGTCTTCGTCTTCGATCTTGAGGTGCTCTTGAATGGCCTTGACATCGCGAACGATGTGGACGACAGGGTGCGTCCGGCAAAAGTCTCGTAACAGAGTCTGCACAGAGCGCTCCATCCAGCTGCAGACAATCAAGCAGCCCTTTGAGTTCTGGTCGAGGAGGTCGCGGAGAACGTCCGTCTGTCGACGGTGACATTCTGCGGGGCCATGGGCCCGTTTATATGCGAAGCTGGTCAGGCCGGTGACCTGTTGGAAGGCCTTCTCGCAGTCGAGGGCCCTCCGCGCCATGGCCGTCGAGGCGATGATGGCGAGTGTCGACTTGCCGGCGCCTCGAATGCCAGCAAGGACAATGGAGGCGTCGGCAGGGAATGGGGGTATCTCGTTCGGCAGGTGGGTGACTGGCGTCGCAGGCCTCGTTATTGGCGTCTCGGGTCTGGAGCACGCAGCCATGGAGTACCTGCTGCTGTTCGTCCTCGGGCTCTGAGGCTCTCTCGGTGTTGTACTGTAGCCATTGCGAGTGTCGACGCGAATGAACTTGGAGGGATTCTCCAGTTGGTGGTGGTGTTCGGCATCCTCGTCGTCAATGGCCGTGGCCACGAAGGACCGCTTGACGCCTGCTGTCGCCATAGCTCCTCAGCCTCGACCTCGACCTGGCCGTGGCAGCAGTCGCAAGCTGGGTTGGTGAGAAAGCCCAGGATGCAAGCGCATAAGGCAAGGAAAGGCAGTGTCAAGTTGAGAGAGAGGGCGCGCAGGTGATTGAGTCTGTCTGGGCCAACAGGTTTCGTCCAGCGCCGCCTAACCGGGTGGTCTAACAAGGTCAAGCTCTCTCTCTGTCTGTCCGTCTCTCAGTCAGGAGGAGTCAGTCGAGTCGGTCCCGTCGAGTCGCGTCCAATGCCTACTAAGGCGGGCACAGAATTGCCAGGCGGGAGGATGTATGGAATCCGCACCCCATTTCCGACGGTCGGTGCTGCGCTGATGCCCCTCTCCCTTAGCTGCAACTTGGCGTTGGTACTCTGATAAACACTTATCCCTGGCTTTTCTGTTAGCAGGATACATTCTCCACCGAGCATATCTCGTGTTCCGAACCCGCCGTCGCTGTTCCGCCCCTTGGTTTGACAACTCAACTCAGGGAAGTCCTAACTGTTGCCCGGTTCAACGTTGAAGTGTCTAGACCAGTGAGAGCCCGCGATGAAGGCAACACAACCTTGTTCATGGCAGACAAACCCCAGCTGTATGCGGTTGGTGCCCCAGAGACGCCTCCATCAACAAGGGTCTGTCTGTGCGAAGAGTCTGGAGAGCTGTCTGTGCATGTTCGCAACACCAAAAGTAGCGCACTAACACCCCGCAAACCGAGTCATCCGTACACGGCCTTCTGCGGCCAATTAATGCCACTGGGATTCCAGCTGACCTTTGTCCTCGCCGCCCAAAGATCAGATCGAGCAAACAACCTTTGAGGCGGCGCCGCGACTGTCCGACGTGAGGTTACCCCAGGATTTCCCCACCTCCAGCGAGTTGCGCGGGAAATCTTGGAGAAGCAAAGACGTCAATCATCGCCGCTGTCGCTCCTCTGCCTGTTGACTGCCTGCTGCTGCTGCTGTTGCTGTCGCTATTGCTGTGCTGCTGCTGCTCTGTTGCTTGCCGCTGCTACCCATCGTCACTCCCCCTGCAACATCCCGTCGCGATCCATCCGCCACAACTCTCGCTTCAACCATCATCCGCAGCGCGCTCTCGCCCTTCCTCGCAGCTCTCGCCGACGCTCTCGCTCTTGTTGCACACGCCCTCATGCTGTCCACAACGGCGTGAGCCACAGGAGCTGCTCTGCCGCCCGAGGCATCAATTGCAGAATGCCCTCCAAGAGAAAGGTTCACGATGCCGAGACCAATGCTACCTCGACGTCGGCCCCGAAGCGCCAGCGAGTTTCTCGAGCGTGCGACCAATGTAGAAGGCAAGCTACCTCGCATCCGTCCTTGTTTTCAGTTTCTTCTTCATTCCGTCTGATTTCCATCATCTGTTCGCCTTCAACATCGGAAGCTTCCTGCAAGGGAGCCGTCCTCGCATGCTTGAGGATGTTTGGTGTTCAGGCTCGAAGAGCCTCATCATTGGCCCGAGTCAATCCTTGCGTCGTCAACAGCTTCATTTCCAGGGTGTTCCGACGTTGCTGGAGATGGGCTAGCTTTGTTTTCTTCAACGCCGATCCCGGGTTGTGTTTGCTTTTGTCTTTGATTTGCGCTGGCTTTGATGCTAACTGACTTGCAGTGCTCGAGAGAAGTGTGACGGCGTTCAACCACAATGCTTCTCCTGCGTAACGCTATCGAGGCAATGCACGTACAACGTCGCTCCGAAGAAGCGCGGCGTACAGACCGGTCTAATTCGAACATTAGAGCTCGCCCTTGTCTGGCTGTTCGACCAGGTTCCCGGCACTGAAGAGAAGCTCTCAGAGTTGCTCGCCCGCGAGGGCGATGGCGGGCAAGCTCTGCTATTAGACAAAGACAATGAAGCCGGTAACCGTCTTCACAAGAGATGGAGGAGGTGTCGAGTTCATAAAGACATCGACCGACTTCTATCCGGCAAGGACGGTATAAGCCCACGCCAAGACACCTCGGGAGACGAATCAGATGCGGACGCAGATGGCCGCAACAAACAGAAAGACGCAACCCCCCAAGAAGGTGCCGCTGTGTCTCCAAAAATAAACGGCTCCGAACGGGCATCGGACGCGACTCCGGGCGAACCGGGCCCAAGACATCGACACGGCTCTATATCCCGCCGAAGATTCAAACTCCCAAGAAACTTTCCGAGGCTGCTAGAAGTTTACTATTCTTATACCCACAGTTGGCTTCCAATACTAAACTCCAAAGAAGTCCTCGATAATGTTGCAGCCTCTTATCCACCCGATGGTTTTGATATCGACCCAGAAGACTCCGGCGCCAGCGCGGCCCACGCCGAACTGTGGTGCGCCCTTGCCGTTGGAGCCTTCCAGGATGCGACATCATCCAATACCTCCGGACGGGCTGAGCCTTCAGACCGTCCAAGCCTTATATTCGCAGCTGCACGAGGCTTGATACCCGTGGAAACAGACATGGGACTAGGTCACGTCAAAGCTCTACTGGTGTTGTCTCTGGTAAAGTTGGGTCAAGACAACGCAGGCGCCGCCTCATTGCTTATTGGTCTCGCCGTTAGAGGTGCTATGGCACTCACGGATGGCAGGTCAAGGAATAGGGGCCGCAACTCTATATCTGGTCAGGTGGCACCTTTGACACCAGAAGCAAACTCAACTGCGCTGGATCGAGTAATGATGGCATGTCTCATGCTTGACACCATAGTATCCCTGGGACTCGGCCAAACACCACACATGAGGACGAGCGATATGAAAGACAAGCCAACGGATGAAAACGGGCCGGAAGAATGGGCTCCTTGGGCGCCACGGACTGGATTCGGATCCGAGGAGGTTGACGGCGCAGTGCACGCGGCCCAGTCGCTGAGTTCTTTCAACCAGCTTTATCAGTTCTTCCGGACCCTGAATCAGAGCGTTGAGTCAGGAACTGCAGCACCGCAGATAGGTGCTGCGAACCTGGTGCAGGTGCTTGACCCCCGGTTCTCATTTTGCAACTCTGTTGTTTTTGGAGCGTCAACGATACCCAAACTGCCGTCGGCCTTTTTGATACAGGCTACTTTCCTCGGTGCCACGCTGACATTGATGCCCGACGCCCGGGTCTCGCTTATTTGGAGTCTGATGGAGGTTTTGGAAAATTCCATTGCCCAATTTGGCGCAGCCGGCGTGTCGCCGCTTCTTGTCACTTACATGAGCATCGCTAATACCAAGAGTTGCGTGAAAGCTCTGCGAGACGATGACAAAGCCAGATGGAATACTCTGATGGGAGATCTGATATCTGTTTGGCAAGACCGGACGACCAACGCAGATTCGTCCGTGTTAGATGCTGAGCCTGGCGGCAAAACACCTATCCAGGCCGAACAGTCGGCTCCTCATTTCTCACAGCCCGCCGCACGACAAAACCCACACTATTCTCAATTCCCAATGAACACGGATTCATACCACCAAAACGGCAACGGGTTTCTACCAACTGCTTCGTCAGCTAGTCCTTCGACGGCGCGAACGATGCCATTTACCCCAGGAAGTCAGCTGGATGCATTTCCCACAGGATTTATGGGGCATCTGCCTTCGGCTCAAACACCATACCTGATGGGACAAGGACCCCACGGCGTGGATTACGACGCCATTATGGACGAGTTGGCTTCTATAGACTGCACAGATAGCATGGAGGCCGACCCGCAGTTCATGGCCAATCTCGGCTTCGCCCCAGGCTCAGACTTGACAGACATGCTGCGGGGAGAATTTGGGGGGATGTGAGAAGAGTAATGTATTATGACTTTTTAGTAGAAAACGAACCCAATACTTATCACACACGTATGTAACTATCTTCGCCGTAACCTGTGCCTTAGTTTGACTGTCCCCTGTCATGCACGTCCATCGGTGTGAAAAGCCCCTGGTGATTGACATGTGTTCACGCTGTCCAAGGGTAGTGATTCGAGAAGAACGGACTTGCTAGCCCTTTTCGTACTGTTTTCTGGAGAATCTGCAGCAGGCTTATCTCTGTTCTGGCATCTTTCTGGCCCAGCTGCGGCCGCTGCAATGTTAGCGTCTTCGGGATCTGTTTGCGAACCAAGCCCGCGGAAGAGCAATATGCGCAGGATGAGCGGAAGTATAATCACCAGGAGCTTAATATTCTGATGTCTCGGCAGTCAATCTATTGAGATTTGGACTTGCTGATGAAGCACGTGTCATAGATTGTGCACAGTAGTGCAATGTGCGCTACCAAGCAGGGTCGATTCTGATGACACCGGCCCAGTGGGCACTACTACTCTAGCGACTGTCACGTCCCGACAGAACGGCTCAGACAGAAAGACATTCATGGATGAGGACAGGAGAATAAAACTTCCTCTCGTATATTACTAAACTTCCAGCGTGATGTTGTTCGCCGCTTTGTGCGCTTAGAACCACCGTATCAGGAGAGCCCCTTTCGATCCGACTAAAGTGGACTCCACGATGGCCTCGTCAAAGAGGCTTGGCCAGAACATTGCTAACGAGTTAGCAATCGAGTGATGGAGTCCGGAATTCTCGCCGGTCTTTTGCCAATGTTGAGAGCGGCGCAGCTATCTTGGTTTGTACGCGTTGGCCGGATATACTCAACTCCCCTCAGCTCGCGGCCACAACCCCTGTCTTGTTGACTCCGTGACCCCATGGGCAAGGCACGTCAGGCAGGTAGCAGCAGTCTGGGGTCGCTACCCCTTTGCCCGCATTGCTGACAATCCGGACGGCTCGAAACCAACAAGTTGGGAGTTCCCCAAGTTCCACGTGCAATGTGAGACAGTTGAATGGCAATGCGTTGCCGCTGACAGGATAAACATTCAACCCTTAGCCCCGGTCTGGGCAGGGGTTCTCCAGCATTTTGGGGGCCCCGAAGTTGGATCTAGCACGGAAACAGAGATTAGTGCCGTGGATCAGTGCGGAGAACAAATCCTTTGCCGTTCTCCACGCGCCGTGGAGACGAGTCAGTCGCCCAGCTGCAGATTCTGCTCCGGTTCGGAGCCACACGCAAAAGCAGGAAGCGTGACTCCTTAGCTCAGGGAGAAGCGTTCACCCCAGAGTCAACCATCTGGAATCTCATACGCGAAGGCGTCGTCAGAGCCTATTACCCCGGATCCCATTGGCCTCCCCGTGTTTGCTGTGCGTTCCGTGGGATGAACAAACTCCGCATCGAAGCAGCCCCAGACTTTTTCCCCAGACGAACCGACACGCCACACACCTGTCACTTTTTACCAACGCAGAGGAACGAACCATACATATAACAAAGGCAACCCTTGACCACCATCTGGTTCTGGCCTCCTCATCCCCTTAAGACTTCTCTACCCCAACCGTGCTTTGGAGTTCAGACTGTCTCAAGGCCCAAGCAACAAGACAACATCATCTGAAGACAGAGTCAAGCAGCAGCACGCACAACCATCAGTCACCATGGCTCTTCTCACCCTCGTTGAGGATCGGCCGACGCCCAAGGCTGTCTACAACTGGCGCGTCTACATGTGCGCCATCATCGCGTCGTTCGCCAGTTGCACCATTGGCTACGACTCTGCCTTCATCGGAACCACTCTCGCCCTGCAGTCCTTTACCGAGGAGTTCCAGTTCGCGTCCTACAGCAAGAGCGGATTGGCTCTGTTGAAGTCCAACATCGTGTCTGTCTACCAGGCCGGTGCCTTCTTCGGCTCCTTGTTCGCCTACGTCAGCAGTTACTTCCTCGGCCGCAAGAAGAGTTTGATCGCTTTCAGTCTCGTCTTCATGCTCGGTGCCGGTATGATGCTCGGCGCCAACAGGGAGCGCGGCCTCAGTCTCATCCTCGCCGGCAGAGTCCTCGCTGGTATCGGTGTGGGTGGCTGCTCCAACATGACCCCCATCTACATTTCCGAGCTTTCCCCGCCTGCCGTTCGCGGTCGCCTCGTCGGCATCTACGAGTTGGGCTGGCAAATTGGTGGCCTTGTTGGTTTCTGGATCAACTACGGCGTCGACTCTACCATGGCCCCCAGCCACTCCCAATGGCTCATTCCCTTTGCCGTTCAGCTGATTCCCGCTGGTCTGCTGCTTGTCGGAGCCTTCTGGCTTCCTGAGTCTCCTCGTTGGTTGTTCTCCAAGTACAGGAGAGAGGAGGCAATGAAGCATCTTTGCTGGATGAGGTAAGTTTTGAACGGACATCAATTCTTGGTGATGGTTTGGATGTGAGCTAATCATCAAATTTTCACAGAAACCTGGATGCCAGCGACAAGTACATCATCGAGGAGGTCAACTACATCGATGCCGACCTCGAGAGATACAGGACCGAAGTTGGCGCCGGATTCTGGAAGCCCTTTGCCGCTCTCAAGCAGAGCAAGGTCCAATGGCGCTTCTTCCTTGGTGGCATGGTGAGCGCGCTCCTTTCTGATTACCAACACTGGTTGCTAACCCCGAAAAGCTTTTCCTCTGGCAAAACGGTTCCGGCATCAACGCCATCAACTACTACAGTCCTACCGTTTTCAAGAGCATCGGTATCACCGGCACCAACACCAGTTTCCTCACAACCGGTATCTTTGGCGTCGTTAAGACTATTGTGACTTTTGTGTGGATTCTTTGGCTCATTGATCAGCTTGGTCGCCGTAACCTCCTCATGATTGGTGCCATTGGTGGATCGCTCTGCATGTGGTACATTGGAGGTTACCTCGCTCTCAACCCTGCCAGTGGCACCGGCGGTCTTTCCGGCGGAGGCATTTCTGCCATGGTCTTCTTCTACCTGTGGACGGTGTTCTACACTCCTTCGTGGAATGGCACTCCCTGGGTCATCAACTCCGAGATGTTCGACCAGAACACCAGGTACGTGTGGAGAGAAACGAGTCAGTAAACGAACACGTGAGCTAACCATACCTGTAGATCTCTTGGCCAGGCTAGCGCTGCTGCCAACAACTGGTTCTGGAACTTTATCATTTCTCGCTTCACCCCCCAGATGTTTGACGCCTGGGGTTATGGAGTGTACTTTTTCTTCGCCTCTCTCATGATCATGTCCGCCGTCTTCGTGTTCTTCCTCGTGCCCGAGACCAAGGCTGTCCCTCTGGAGACTATGGACCGTCTCTTCAAGGTCAAGCCCGTGTGGCGCGCAAACAAGACCATTATGGATGAGTTGGCGGAGGACCAGAGCTTTAGACAGAACGACTCGGATGACGTTGTTCTTGGCGAGAAGTCGGACGAGGGTGAAGTCAGCCAGGTAGAGCGAAAGGCCAGCGTTTAACGGTTCGGGACAACGGTTTACTAATACGGAATTAAGGGCGTTTAAATGGGTAGCAGGCGGATATTCCCAAGATTTCGAGTATCTCAAGGAATTCACAATCCTCTCTAACCCAAATCGAGCGAAACCGAGTGATGTGCACCGTATTGCACCCTTTGCGCACGAGCCGGCAGGTCGAGAAGTAAAGCGTAACGGAAACGGCGTAAACGATAAAGACGTAGACGATGGGCGTAATCGAGGAACGTAAACGACAGGCGTAAACGGAACGGAGGTGATACCCGAAGTAGAGGAGGATTATCGATGCGTGGTGGCGAGGCAAAGGCCGGGGGAGGCACTATGCATGAAGTGGGCTCAGCGCAACCAGGGGCAAGGTACGTGGTGGTTATGTCTTTTCCCTCCCGTCCCCGTGTTGGAGGAAGATGAGATGTAGCCTCAAGGTTACATGCTCTGCGAGTACATGTCAATAGCAACTGTCAGCGGCTCAGCCGCCGCAAGCACACATGAAGTGTCCACAGAGATATCCCCGTATTGCATGCTGCAAGTGACCATCCGCCGCTGTTCCGCAGGCATCCCAAGACATGGCATCCCAGAAGATACGCGGAGTTACCCAGCATCTCCCACGTCCACTGAGTGCTATCTTGTCATGTGGACATACCTGGAACAAAGTTCAACAGACGAGCAACCGCAAATTGAATCGTCCGTATCATACAGAGAGTCCTTCCAGCCAAGAGCGAGGAGGTCAGGCCAAGACGCCAAGTCGATGAACCTCTAGCCTGATTGGTAAATAACCCGACTCAAGCACTGGCGCCGTCGGTATGATCTTGGTGGTGCGGCAAGAATCCTCCGGATGTAGGATGACGTCGAAACAAAGCAAAGAAAACGTATAGATGGCGCATCACGAGCAAAACAGCATCTGAGAGCCGCCAATGTGAACATGCCAGCCTGCTGCCGTTATATAACAGATCTATCGAGTTTCGTCCCGTCTGCGAGATGGAGCGTTTCCACAGTTTATCGTGCGATCCCGTATGATTCCCGTGCGATTTTCGTCGAGGTGAGGCGGCGCTTGAGTCTTTTTCCGGGCGCGTGGGAAACATTCACCCGCTCAACCACCAGCCAAACGAAATCTGGGACCGACCCAAAGAATCGACGGACAGAGTCCGAGTTATTCAAGATTATGCAGGATTGTTTGAAAAAGTGCAATGCATGAGGTGGAAATGAGTCTTATTTCCGTGGTTTGGTTTGTGTCAAGTTTGCATGAGACGCGCGCAACGCACGCGCAACCACAGCACAACTCGCATCACGGCATTAAATGAGGCTCAACTGTCCCTTTTTGATCTGATGCACAATTCTGCATTGTCTTGGACTGCTCGCATCTGGTGAATGTTCCGTTGATCTGCAGGTTGTAGTGAGAACACGGAAAGACGGCACTCCAAAAGTGTCTAGCTCGCCCCAATATTTGAAGATATCGATGCTTCTGGAGCCGCATACGTTGCAGTCGGCCTGCTATCACATCGTCTGTCTATGTCTCGAAGTGGGCTCATGGCCGGAGAAGTCTTCATCATGTCAAGCTGTCGATGCGCGAGAAAGTACTTTGTCTCATAAGGCTCGTCGCAGCGGAGTAGAACGTAATTCCTGGTGATGTTTTAGATCGCTTTCGGAAAGACAGGCAGGAGTTTGGATGCAAGTCTACAGATCGAGGAGTTATGTTGAACTCCAGCCATATAAGTCTGCATTTCACGCAAGTTAGCTTCTACTAACACGAAGCAGTGGGATTAAATGCAAAGGCTTATCTATGATTCTCATTCGGGAGAACTCGCTCAACATGAAGAATTACAATCGCTAAGCGGACGTCACCGTGTGAATACGAAATGAAATCTACGAGCAGCAAGAATCGAGATGAACGGTCTGGGACATGAACGGAGACGCCAACAGAGATCCAAGACCATAGCATTGCTGGCTTGCTGACTGAATAGAGACAAGCTGGGCAACTGGGATGAGAAATATGGAAGCACTTCCCCAAGGATCTTCAGTCATGTGGATGACCATCACACTAAATCAACATGGAAACATGGAGTCATGGCCAAATGATGGAATCTCATAATTCGTCTTGTTAAAACAGTCGCTATGAATGTATATATGCAAGTCGTCTCAAATTTTCATTATTTTTACAGTTTTGAGTGTTGCGCCAGCTTGGCGGCAATCACTTCCTTGACCTTTTGTACGGGAAGGTCCTGAACCTCCTTGCCGGTCCAGTAACGGTCCTGCTTAACAGTCAGTAAACACTCGCCAAAGATTAGAGATGGGGGTCAACTGACCTGCTCCAGACCTTGGTAGATCATGGCCTCAGTGCCGAGAATGACCTGCCAGCCGGCGTCTTCGGCCAGGGCACCAATCTCAGTAAAGGGGGTGGGGTTGTAGCACATCTCAAGGATGGCGCCCTTGGTAGGCTTGTTGAAGAACTCAACGATAACTTCACGGGCGACAATCTCCTCGGGGGTCTTGGGAGGGAAGTCGGGGATGCAGGAGACGATAGCGCCGGGGGCGTCGAGCTCTCTCGCCTCCTCGACGGTGGAGACGTGGTACAGGTTGTCTCCATAGCCCCGCGTGGTGCACTCGGCGATAACGGCGTCGACCTCCGCCTTGTCACGGTTGACGAGGTAGATGTCGGTGGCCTTCATCCACTTGCGCAGGGCGTAGACGGCGCTGCGGGCAGCACCTCCGCCGCCGATGACCAGGGCGGGCTTGTTGTGGTAGACGGCATCCGGGTCGGCGACGTTCTGGACGAAGGACTCGCGGACGCCAATGACATCGGTGTTGGTGCCGCAGTATATCCGCTTGCCGTCGCGCTCGCGGATGAAGAGGGTGTTGCAGGCGCCGACGTCGCGGCACTCATCCGTCAGCTCGTCGAGGTGAGGGATGATGGCGACCTTGTTGGGCATGGTGACGGAGCTGCCGTAGAACTTGGGGTGCTTGATGAGCTCGAGGAACAGCGGCAGGTCTGCCGAATCCAGACGCATCTGCTCCCATTTCAGGCCAATTCCCTCGTAGATGGTGCTGTGCAGGAGTGGTGACAGGGAATGTGTGATCTTCTGGCCAAAGAGGTAGCCGTGGCGGTCAAGCTGCTCAATCTTGGTAGCGATGGTGTCGTCCACCAATTTTTCTGTGACGGCGGGGCTGGCCATTTTGGCTGTGTGTGTGTTGTGGATGAGAACCAAAGAAGAAGAAAAAGACAAGGGGTATCTGTGATTGTGTTGTGGTGATGAAAGTCTGAGTGACGGAGTGACTGAGTGACAGGCCGTATAAGATGAGGAAACCGGCGATAATTGTATGTGAAATATGTCTCAAGCAAGGAATTGGAAACGGATATTCTTTGAGTGGCTATTATGAGAACTTCAGATTTGGAGAAGACGATCTGGAGGCCACTTTTTGTTCCTGGGTTGCGTCTCTTTTCTCTGCCGGCCAAAGGATGAGGTCCAATAATAATTAATTGTTCTTGCGGGACACGGGGAAAAGTCCGGGGCTCTGGATGGGGTTGATCGGACTGCGGTTCAAAACTCCATCAGGGCTAAGAATTCATGGATCGGAAACTCGCAGTTTCAACGAGGGACTTGTTGTGTGTGCGTGGTTCCTCCACTCACTCCACGCTCCGGCAAAGAACTCTCCAGAGACCGATCACCTTGGGTGCTGAGGAGAAACCCCGAATGAGCGAGAGAGGGAGGGAGGGAGTGAGAGCCAGTGAGAAGTGCCGAAGAATCTGGGCCTCGGAAGCGTGGGAAAACGACGCCAGAGGCAACGAAGAAAGGGAGCGAGTGAGTGAGTGAGAAAGCGGTCATTCGCTCGCTCGGTGGCCGCCCACCCTTCCGTGGCGAAGCTGAAGAATGTTTATCCTTCATTCTCAGTGAAGAACGTGAAGTAGGTAGGATGTGAAAAAGTGGAGGCGGGCCCCAGGGGAAGCGTTTAGCCTGGCAGCCCGGCGGCACTCGGCGAGCTGTCGTCACCAGCTGCCAAGCAGCGCAACACCACCAACTACCGGTCTTGGTGATGGGCGGCGTCACGCATCTCTTACAAGTTGCAACACCACACACACTCGCGGGGTGCATTGGCACATGGGAAAGAAGCCCCCAGAGTGGACCGGCTACCTTCGGCCACCCCCAGAGTTTCCAGATCGCCGTGCTCTGCAAGCATGCGATGGCTGACAAGATGGGGTACGCTGCATCCGCAAAGTACCTTGTACTGGTGGCGGGTGAATGACTTTCCTGCCCCAAGTCCACTCGGAAGCCCGGTGCAATCCGGGGATGAAGGGGCCCGTATGAGACCATTGGACAGTCTTCCTGTTGTTCTGCAACACGCGCTGCTGCTGTTGTGCGTTACTCGATGATTCGATTTGCAAGCTGCAAATAATCTTCCCTGATCCCCTGCTGCCGAGGACTAACACATACGAGCGAGCTTCCCTTCGACTACTTCCCTCCACTCCCCTCTCCTGCCTACCCCGTCGACTCCCACTCACATACATACTACTTCTTATCTCGCCCGCCTACCTACGTACTCGCAGAAGCCAGCCTCTTTCATCATCCTCTCGAAAGCATCCTACTAGTACTTCCTTCACCTTTGCTTCTGTGCTACTCTGCGTTTGATACCCTTTGACTTCTGCCGTCACCTCATATACAACCATTCACATTACACACCACATATTCCGCCCACCATGCCTTCGCGCCTAGGTATCAGCACCATGTCGCTCGGCCGATGCTGGGCTGGACACTCTTTTGAGCACAAGATGGACATGGCAGCAAAGTACGGCTACCAGGGCATCGAGCTCTGGCACGAGGACCTCATGGACGTCGCCGAGCAGCTCCCCGGCGGTGCCGCCCTCCTCGAGAACCAGATCGCCGCCTCCAAGATTGTCAAGAGGATGTGCGACGTCCGCAACATTGAGGTCATCTGTCTCCAGCCTTTCCAGCACTTTGAGGGCCTCGTCGACCGCGAACAACACGCCCGTAGGGTCGAGGAGCTGCGCGTGTGGATCCAGCTCGCCCACGTCCTGGGCACCGACCTCATCCAGATCCCCAGCAACGTCCTGCCCGCCGAACAGGTCTCTGAGGATCTCGAGCTTCACATCGCGGACCTTGCTGAAGTTGCCGACATCGGTGCCGCCTCCAACCCGCCCATCCGCTTCTCATATGAGAGCCTGTCGTGGGGCACCAGAGTCGACGTATGGGAGACGTGCTGGGAGGTCATCCAGCGGGTCGACAGGCCCAACTTCGGAATGTGCCTCGACACCTTCAACATTGCCGGCCGCATCTTTGCCGACCCCTGCGCCGCCTCGGGCAGGACAGAAGACGCCGAGCAGGCGGTGAAGGACTCCATCCAGAGGCTCCTCACGACCGTGGACGTCTCCAAGATCATCTACGTGCAGGTCGTCGACGCCGAGCGCCTCGCCGAGCCGCTATGCCCGACGCACCCTTATTACAACGCCGAGCAGCCGTCCCGCATGTCCTGGTCAAGAAACTGCCGTCTGTTTTACGGCGAGTATTCAAGGGGGGCGTATCTCCCCGTCCGAGAGATCTGCGCGGCCATCTTCCAGGGCCTGGGTTTCGAGGGTTGGGTCAGCTTTGAGCTGTTCAACAGGAGGATGTCGGAGGAGGACCACGACGTACCAGAGGAGCTCGCCAAGAGAGGAGCTGTGGCCTGGAGCAAGCTGGTGAGGGATATGAAGCTGAGAGTGGAAGAGCCTTCGACGGCCGTGACGGCGTCGCTTTAGAGTTGGAGTCCCCTACATCATGATGGTCATGACACACACATTTGCATAAGATTGCAACAGCGCTTGTACAGTATTTACATGTTTTATTCTTTTACTTTTTGGGGACAGGAGGGGATCAATTAATCCTATTCAAGCCTTCTGCTTAATCTTCATGTGCTTTGCCGCAAACTCGATGGCCGCCGTGTACCCGTAGACGCCCAAGCCGCAGATGACGGCGGTGGCCTTGTCGCTCAAGTAGCTGTGGTGTCTGAAGGCTTCCCTCGTGTGGACGTTGGAGATGTGGCACTCGACGAAGGGGATGTCGACGCCGAGGAGGGCATCGCGGATGGCGACGCTCGTGTGTGTGTAGGCGCCGGGGTTGATGACGATGGCGTCGATGTTGCCCCTGGCCTCGTGGATGCGGTCGACGATGGCGCCCTCGTGGTTGGACTGGAAGTTCTCGACTTTGATGCCCAGGTCAGAGGCCTGCTTCTCGGCCATGGAGACGACGTCGGCGAGGGTCGTTGAGCCGTAGACGGCGGGTTCACGGGTGCCCAGAAGGTTCAGGTTGGGACCGTTGATGAGGAGGATGCGGCTGGCCATTGTGAAGGATGGAGATGTAGGTAGACGGCTGTGATTGTTCTCAATGATGGATGTTGTTGATACAATGGATAGAGCGAGCCACACGACTTCAGACGGCGAGGCTATTGTGATTGATAAATGAGTCGATTCGTGTCAGTGGATAAGTCTTGATCCGTGTTTCGTCAAGAATGCTCTGCCGGCATCGCAACAGTTGGCTTGGCTGGAGATGTTGGTGAGGGACCGAACCGCGGGGAAACTAGAGCTGCCCCGGATTTCGAGCCTCTCACGTAACGGGCATAAGTCAACAGCCTCTCCCACACGGCTCCTTCGGGGTTGCAGTTCGTCCTGGAGAACTGAAGTGAGTGGAGTGGCTTGGCCTCCCTCTTCCCCAGGTCTTGGTGTGTGGTCCAGTGTGCCCAAGTAATTAGGTCCAGTACCTGAGGTATGTGAGAGACGAGGGGCAGAGGTGGAGGGAGGGGTGACGGCGACACCTCAGGGACCAAGTCGCCGACACAGCTCCTGACTCGGAGGTCTACAGCGCGTTGCTACCGGGCCTTTTGGGGGCTCTTCGGTAAGCTACCCGCTAAAAGGAGCCCTTGGAGAGCACCTCACTCACAGGCGCTCACTCACTGAGGTGGGTGGGTGGTGGTCCAGTGTGTGGCGGGGCAGATGCGGGGATGCCCCGCTGATAGGGGGCCACGGCGAGCTGATAACGCCGCGCGGGACGTCATCCCGCTGTGCTTCCGCGGTCTCCAGCACTCGGCTGGCGGCGGCCCAGCCTGCAGCACGCCGTCCAGTCACCCAATTTCTGACTGATGGCCTCCATGCTGTCGCGTGTTGCCAGTGGTGTGCTGCTGCTTACCTACTGTTGCTGGCTTGGGGTTTCAACTTGCCTGCTCTCTTCTTTTGCGACTCAACTCGTTGTCCTTTCTTCTCAACTTGCCAAATACTGTGACAATTCTTCAGGGCGGCTTTACTCGGAAACGACACAATGGCGGACATCAGCGACGCCGAACTCCGCGACATCTACGACTTTGCCGTGCAATTGGGCAAAGATGCGGGCGCCATGCTCATGAAGGCGGCGCGGTCGAGGTTCGACGGCGCCGATGCGCAGGCCTTCACCGAGAAGGAGAACTCGGTCGACTTGGTCACCAAGACCGACACAGGTGCGGCAACACTCCAGTGCTCATGAGCATGTCCTTGCGATGGGTTGCTGACGGAATTGGCGCCACTGCAGAAGTCGAAGCCTTCATCCACGCTTCGATCGCAAACAAGTACCCCAACCACAAGTGAGTCAACTTGTGATGACGGCCAGCCAGACAACCTCTTACCCTGATTCTCACACAAATAACAGGTTCATTGGCGAAGAGACGTACTCGGCCGGCGCCTCCCGTGACTACCTCGTCGACGACAGCCCAACCTGGATCGTCGACCCCCTCGACGGCACCGTCAACTTCACCCACCTGTTCCCCATGTTCTGCGTCTCCATCGGCTTCGCCGTGAAGGGGAAGCCCATCATCGGCGTCATCAATGCGCCCTTCCTGAACCAGACCTTCTCCTCGCTCAAGGGCCACGGCGCATGGATGAACGAGACCCAGAAGCTGCCCTTGGTCCCGAGCCCCTTGCCAGCCAATGCGCCCAGCGGCTGCGTGTTTTCGTGTGAATGGGGCAAGGACCGCCGCGACAAACCGGATGGGAACATGCACCGCAAGGTCGAGAGCTTCGTCAACATGGCTGCCGAGAGGGGCGGAAGAGGTGGCAAGGGCGGCATGGTTCACGGCATGAGGAGTCTGGGAAGGTGAGAGCTGCAGCGTCCTCAGGAGGGGGACCTTATGCTGACGAGAACAGTGCCACTTTGGACCTCGCCTATACTGCCATGGGGTCTTTCGATATTTGGTGGGAGGGCGGTTGCTGGGAGTGGTATGTCAAAGGCCTTGGAAGTTGACGTTATGATGCCGGCGCTGACAGTTTTGCCCTAGGGACGTGGCTGCAGGAATTGCAATTCTCGAAGAGGCTGGTGGTCTCGTGACCATCGCTAACCCACCAGAAGATACCTCCGTCGTTCCAGATGTCAAGCTGGGTGGCAGATCGTACCTAGCAATCCGGTGAGTTGGCCCCAAACAAATAGGAGAAGGGTTATGGCTAATGTAAACCAGTCCCGCAGCATCCACTGAGACCGAGACTGCCCGACAAGCACAAGAGAGAGTCGTGAGGGAGACATGGAAGAGGGTTAGACAGCTCGACTACTCGAGGCCCGGCGCATAAGACGACCATCTATACAAAGACTAGACATGACTTGAATATACGTAATTGCATAGACTTCACTATTGGGAGAATCCATCAAGCGATTTCCATCGAGCGATTTCTGCACCGGACACCTAGCTCGATTTCAAAGAAAAGGCGACAGTGGCTTCGTGGAGGATGAAGACTCCGAAGAGACGGAGACGTAATGGGTCATGGGAGGGTAGGGATGATACAAGAGAATGCACCGAACAACATTGCCGAGGCAACTAGGCAGACTGAGTTACCTATGATCCGGAAGTGAAGACGCCGTGATCATACCACTCGACAACATAGCTAAAATGGAGACGATTAAAACAGCCAACCATTCCAATAAGGATGACACATAACCCAAGAAGACAACGAATCTATATATCTGGTCGAATCATGGAGCGGCATCTACTTGGCTAGCTACTTCATCATCTAGAGGTCCGTCTTGGCTTGCTCACCCGCCCACGCCCTCCGGATGATCTCCCGGATCTTTTCCTTCTCGAGCGGGCGCGGGTTCCAGTAAGGCGTGTCGGACGCAACATCCGTGACCCGGTCAATGTCCTTCTCCTGCATACCCACGTCCTTGAGCCCTGTCGGGATGTCCAGCAGTCGGAGCAGCTCGTTCAGACCTTGTACAACGCCGGCGGCAGAACTCTCCGTGCTCTGAGCAAGGGCCGACGATAGCTTGGTGATGATGCTCTCAGAGAAGCAGCTCGCGTTGTACGCCATGCTGTGCGGGAGGAAAATCGAATGCGTCTCGGCGTGGGGCAGGTTGAGAGTGCCACCCGCGGCGTGGGCGAGCTTGTGCTGGAGCGCGATGCCGGTCGCCGTGGCCAGAAACCCGGCCAGGAATGCACCGTACAGCGCCGACGTGCGGGCTTCCACCGACGACGGGTTCGAGGCAATCACAGGAAGAGCGCTGGACAGAGCCTTTATGGACTCGATGGCAAAGTGATCCGTGATCGGGCTGGCTTGACGGGAGTAGAGTGCCTCGACTGCGTCTCGTCAGCGACGTACCTACATCCAAGACCTGAATACTCACATGAGTGTGCCATGGCATTGAGACCACTCGGCCCGCTGACTTTGACCGGCAGGTCCATGGTCAGGTCCACGTCGTATATGACCACCTTGGGCAGGATCTTGGGATCCGTGTACGACGTCTTCTTGCCGTCCTTGGTCTCTCCGATGATCGGCGTCATCTCCGAGCCCGAGTAGGTCGTCGGGATGGCAACCTGCGCCATCCCCGTGCGGTAGGCGATGGCTTTCCCAAGGCCGACGGCGCTCCCGCCTCCGACGGAGATGAGGACATCTCGGCCCTTGGCGCGGTCCACGGCGGGCCCGATGATGTCGCTCGGGTTGTGGACGATGGCGGTGTCGAGGATCTCGCTTTCCGTGATGCCGGCTTCCGACAGCTTCGTTTGTATCTTGGCCGCGAGCGATGTCCGAGAGGGTGAGCATATGATGAGCGGCTTCGCGAGGTTTCGAGACTTGAGCTCGCCGGGTAGCTCGTTCAACGTGCCGGGCCCGAAGAAGACCTTTGGCGTAGTGATGCCGAAAACGAATGGTGAGATTGGATCCATGTCTTTGTTTGAGTCAGGGTGTAAGTCACAATCAGAGAATATCATGAACGGCGTACTAGATTGCAAGTCGAGGACGAGACGACATTGATAAGTGCTAGTGAGTCGTCATCGGCGGGGAGCGGGGTCCGACCGCTGCGGAGGCTTCTCAAGCTCCGGGGCCGGCCTCGAAGATCGGCAGTCGACATCGGCCGGAATGTGGATGTGTGCTGGAACTCAAAATGTGACGTACAACTCCTCTATTTTCCATACAACACCGCAAATGTACAACGAGAGTTGAATCAGTTCCATTGGTTGCCTATCTCTGTTTAGATGGCCCTGGAGGAGGGGTATCATTATTTTATATCGATTCAATCCAAGCCATCAAATCCCAAAATGCCGTGAGCACCCATGGGGCCAAGTTTAGCAGCCGTGGCGGCCGCTCCCGTGTTCTGGCGCTTGCTCTGCCTCTTGCCACCGTCGCTGTCACTGTCACTATCGTCACTGTCGCTGCCAGCGCGTCGCTTGCCCGTCGCTCCGCCCTCGTCGTCGCTATCGTCATCGCTGTCCTCGTCCTCATCGTCGCCCTCTCCTTGAAGCTCTGACAGCTCCTCCCAAACCTTGACCGTCTTGCCGCCGGCCGTAATCAGCCGGTTCTCCGAGTCAAAGGCGACGGAGATGACACCCTCGACGTCGTCGTGGCGGAGATTGACGACCTGGTCGACGTCGCGGGTGACCAGGTCGACCACCCTCAAGCTGCCGTCGCCGAGACCGACGACCAGCTTCTTGCCCAATCCGAGCTCCTGAGGCACCAAAGCCAGAGCGTCCAGACTCTCGCCCCCGGACTTGCCACCATCGACAATGATGCGCTCCTGCTGGTCATCCCACGCACCTCTGTCCCAGACCGTAACCACGCCAGAGGCGGATCCGACAGCCACCACGCCGTTGTTGCGGTTGTTCTTGGGCCCGAGACCAGGGACGTAGCATGCTGACAGAAGCTCGTCCTCTTGGTCGTCGGAGCGAACGAGAACGCCCTTGCGGACATCCGTCACGGCGAGGGTGGTGCCACCAGTCGAAACCCATTGCTTCGGGAAACCAGATGTGCTCTCGGCGGAAGGG